TTGCTAGGTGAAGTGGCCCTTTGCAATGTCATTGGATTGACTGTTGCTCGGTGAAGGAATGGCTGTTGGTAGGTGAAGTGGCCCTTTGCGATGTCATTGGATTGACTGCTGCTCGGTGAAGGACTGGCTGTTGGTAGGTGAAGTGGCCCTTTGCAATGTCATTGGATTGGCTGTTGCTTGGTGAAGGACTGGCTGTTGGTAGGTGAAGTGGCCCTTTGTGATGTCATTGGATTGGGTGTTGCTAGGCGAAGGATTGGCAGCTGCTAGGTGAAGTGGTCCTTTGCAATGTCATTGGATTGACTGTTACTAGGTGAAGGACTGGCAGCTGCTAGATGAAGTGGTCCTTTGTGATGCCATTGTACTGGATGCTGCTAGGTGAAGTGGCCTTTTGTAATGTCATTGGATTGGCTGTCATTAGGTGAAGGATTTGCTGCTACTAGGTGAAGAGGCCATTGTGATGCCATTGGATTGGCTGTCATTAGGTGAAGTGGCCCATTGTCATGTTATTGGATTGGCTGTCACTAGGTGAAGGATTGGCTGCTGCTAGGTGAAGAGGCCCATTATGATGCCATCGGATTGGTTGCTGTTGGGTGAAGTGGCCATCTGCAGTGCAGTTTCAAACTGCATCAGACTTATATAATGTAATTCTATGGAGTTAGGTTGCATTATGTGAGTGTACATTGCCCATATAATGCAGTTTGAAGCTGCATTATACAGCAGCATAGATGGGACCTCATTGGATGCCACTTGCCTTCTTGTTGCCTGGCCATCCAATGACCGGTTCTACGAATCTACTACAGTTGGGAGAAACCCAGCTGATTCGTGCCTTATAAAAACCCATGGAGACTGACTCCTCATCCGATGCCGCATGGCTAGATTCCACTTACCAATGTGCTGCCCGTACATGTTGTAGTAGAAGCTGAAGCAGTAGGCGGTGTTGGTGGCTCCGTAGGGGTTTTTGGGTGGGATGCTGAAGATGGGGCTGATGAGCCGGGCCCGGTCGCCCTCCTTCCTGGGACTGGAAGCCTCGATGTACATGAAGAAGCCTAAAGGAGGGAAGGCGAGACGGCAGGAAGAGACCACGCTCCGTGAGGAAGAAGCATCCTGAGGCTGAGGACGTGGATGGGAGCGGATAAAGGACCATGTGGACCTCCCATCCCAGACAACGGAGCAGAACATCTGCTCTGGCTTTTAGGATCAATGAGAAAGGAGCTCTCCAAAAGTCACCTTACAGCAGTTCTCATGTTAAGGCTAAAACCAGGAGTAGATGCATCGTCCCACTAACATGGGTGCATTTAGCTCAGGCATGGGCCAACTTGGGTCCTCCAGATGTTTTGGACACTGTTTTGGACTTCTCAGGACACCGTGCCCATATCCCTCTTGAATTGTGATGCTGAGATCTGGACCCAGGGCATTCCCCACACCATCCCCGTCTGCTTCACGGACTCAATTTTACAAAAATGGCCTCTTACCATCCTTGGAGCCAGTCCGGTCGGCGCTGGGGCCTGTGTTTGGCGTGTACTTGGTGTCTCGGAGGATGATGTTCTGCCGCGTCCAGTCGAAGTTGTCCTTCGTGTCTTGGGTGAACAAGCAAATGTTGCCGTCGTCAAAGCCGCAGTGGAATTCTCCTGCCAACAGACCGAGACCACATTCCCATGAATCCTCCTTGCAGACAAGACCACGGTTGGGACATGCAACAGGGCATTACTATAGGCTCAGACAACTGCTAAGCAACTGCAACACCTAGCCTTCAGTGCATCCACACATTCCTATAATGCAGAAACCACATTGGGTAGTGTAGACCAGCTATGGGCAAAGCCACTTCCAGGGACCAGATCCAGCCCCTTGGGCTCCTTTCTCAGGCCCTCCTTTCACTATCCTATCCTTCCTTCTCTCTTTCTCCATTCCCTTCCACTCTTTCATCCTTCCTTTTCTCTTTGCTTCCTCCTTCCCTCCCTTTTGTCTTTCCTTCCTCCTTACCTTTCTCTTTCCCTTCCACCCTTTTGTCCTTCCTTCTCTTTCTTTCCTTGCTCCTTCCCTTCCGTACTTCCATCCTCCCTTTCCTTTCCTCATTTTGTCTTTCCTTCCTCCTCCTTCCCTCCCTCCCCTCCCTTTTTCTCCTTCCATCATTCCCTTCCACCCTTTCATCCTTCTTTCTACCCCTCATTCCTCCCCTTCCCTCTCTTTATCCTTCCTTTCTTTTCCTTTTGTCTTTCTTCCCTTCTCTCTTTCCTTAATCCTTCCCTTCCGTCCTTCCCTTTTTCTTTCCTCTGTCCTTCCCTCCCCTTTTCTCCTTCAATTTCCTTCCCCACCCTTCATCCTTCTTTCTACCCCTCTTTTCTCCCTCTCTCCCTCTTTCTCCTTCCTTCCTTTTTGACTTTCTTTCCTCCCTTTCTCTCTCTTTCTCCTTCCTTCCTTCCTTCCTTCCTTCCCTTTTGTCTTTCTTTCCTTTTCTCTTTCTTTTATCCTTCCCTTCCTTCCTTCTCTTTTTCTTTCCACTCACCTTCCCTCCCTTTTTCTCCGCCCATCATTCCCTCCCACCCTTTCATCCTTCCTTCTACCCCTCTTTTCTCCCTCTCTCCCTCTTTCTCCTTCCTTCCTTCCTTCCTTCCTTCCTTCCTTCCTCATTCCTTTCTTCTTCCTTCCTCCTTTTGTCTTTCTTTCCTTCTTTCTTTTCTTTATCCTTCCCTCCCTCCCCTTCTTTCCTTCCATCCTTCTCTTCATCTCCTCCTTCCTTCTCTTTTTCCTTCCTCTGTCCTTCCCTCCCCTTTTCTCCTTCTATTATTCCCTTCCACCCTTTCATCCTTCCTTCTACCCCCTCTTTTCTCCCTCTCTCCCTTTTTCTCCTTCCTTCCTTCCTTCCTTCCTTCCTTCCTTCCTTCCTTCCTTCCTTTTCTTTCTCTCCTTCCTCTTTCCTTTCCCCTTCCTCTTCTTCCTCCTCCTTCCTTCTCTTCCCCTCTTCCTTCCTTCTCTTTCCTTCCTTCCTTCTTTTTCTCCTCCCCCCTTTCTCCTTCCATCCTCCCTCTCCCTTCCTTTGTCCTTCCTTCCTCCTTCCCTCTTCCTCCTTCTCTTCCTTCCTTCCTTCTTTCACTCTTTCCTCCCTCCTTCCCTTCCTTCCTTCCATCACTGGGCAGCCAGTCCTCCTCGCAGGGAGTGCTAGCATGTGACCCCCAAATTAGAAAGTTTGCCCAGGCCTGGTCTAGACTCATATAATGCAATACACTATGTAACACAATTTTTGTTCCTGGTTTATATAAGTTGTTTCCTAATATTATTATTATTTTTTTGTCGTGTCAGGAGCAACTTGAGAAACTGCAAGTGGCTTCTGGTGTGAGAGAATTGGCCATCTGCAAGGACGTTGCCCAGGGGACGCCCGGATGATTTGACGTTTTTATCATCCTTTCCTAATTGATTCTATTATAAAAACATGGAAAAGGTTTATTAAACTATCCAAACTTTGTCTTTGTGGGAGCAACATCCCACAGCACATTTTGCTATTGTTTTTCCATACGTATGGGGCCTCAACCAATTCAGCCAAGTTTGTGGCAGCCACAAAAACGAGGTGTCTGGTGTAGGACAAGTATTTCCAAAATATTTTCAGTTAAACAGGAAACAACACTTTCAAACCAGGAACAGAACATTTTTCAGATTTTGTTACATAATATTATTTGAGTTTACACTGACCATATGATGCAGTTGCAAACTGCATTCCATGGCAGTGTAGATGGAGCCTGGACTTAAATACGAAATAGTGGGGTTTTGTTTGCCAACACTTTGATAGAATTCCAACGGGACACTATCAAACGAATGCAGATTGAAACCAGTTTAACTGTCAGGTCTAAATTCTATGGAAACATGGGAGTTCTAGTTCTACCAGGCCTTTATCCTTGTCTACCAGAATGATGGTAATCACCAAAGTCTTTGGCTGGGGCCTCAACAAACTCCAAGGATTCCATAGCATTGAGCCCTGGCAGTGTGTCAAACGGCATTCATTCGACAGTCTAGATCAGTGGTTCTCAACCTGTGGGTCTCCAGATGTTTTGGCCTTCAACTCACAGAAATCCCAGCCACTTTACCAGCTGTTAGGATTTCTGGGAGTTGAAGGCCAAAACATCTGGAGACCCCCAGGTTGATAAATTTAGTTGTGTTCCTAGAATGGTCTGGACTGGGTCATCACACCGCAGACAAATAATAACAGTGTATGGTCTGGATCCTGCATATTTTGCAATGGGGGAAAAATGCTCTCTCCTCCTCCCCATATTGAGGCACACCTAAATTGGATGCAATTCTGGTTGCAACCCTGGACTGGTTGTCGAAGACTTTCATGGCCAGAATCACTGAGCTGTTGTAAGTTTTTTCAAGCTATATGGCTGGGAGACCAAAGCCGAATTAGAGACCACAGAGAGGGAAACTGCTGAGTCGCGGGGTGGATGGTACACTAGCTATATGGCCATGTTCTAGAGGCATTCTCTCCTGACGTTTTGCCTGCATCTATGGCAAGCATCCTCACTACCTCTGAGGATGCTTGCCATAGATACAGGCAAAACGTCAGGAGAGAATGCCTCTAGAACATGGCCATATAGCCCGAAAAAACCTACCACAACCCTGGACTGGTTGTTTATTTATTTATTTACTATATTTGATAACCGTTCTTCTCAGAACTTTCTTCAAGTTTTTGTATACTGAAATGCAGCAATTAAAGGCAAATTAAGACAAACAAGGACAAACTGAATACAACATGTCTGCTAAAATTGATTTTATTTTAATGTTTATTTAAAGTATTATTTTGTCAAAGGCTTTCATGGCCGGAATCACTGGGTTGTTGTAGGTCTAGAACATGGCCATATAGTCGGAAAAAACCTACAACAACCCAGTAAAATATTATTTCTTTGATTATTATTTTTTTGCTAGTTGCTTGGGTTCTGATGCACAGCTCAAGCAACCTCATGGTATGAATAGCTCCTCTTGCAACACCCTAAAAGTATGCAAATGTTTGTTTATCTAAACAGAATTGACCCAGATGATGCCAGCCTCTGACCATAGTATTTTGGGTCTTATGCTGACTGCAGTGGAGGATTTCTAACCAGGTCTCTCTGCCAAAGAGAAGGAGAACTTGGGGAGTTGAGGAAGAGGCATTTCTTGAGGAAGAGGTGTTTCCAGTTGAGGAAGAGCAGTGTCTTGTGCAATTTGATAGCGGTGCAAGTTGCGCATCCTTGATCCAAAATGCTTGGGAACAAGTGTTCCATATTTGGGATTCCCTGCTTCAAATTTTGGAATACTTTCATATGCACAATGACAAGACATAACACTTGTGTTACACTTGGAGATAGGACTCAAACCTAAATACAAAATTCACATATTTTCATGTACAACTCAATTGCACTGCCTGGTGGTAATTTCACATGCAATTTTGTACACAGAATTGAGTTTTGGGTACACTGAACCACCAGAAAGCAAAGAAGTCATGCTCATAGCCCTCCTTGTGGGCAATTATGGAGTATTTTGGTCTGGATCAGGGATGCTCAACCTGTAGTAACTTGAGGAGGAGTGTGCAAGAATAGGGGTGGCGTAAATCACGACAGTAGCAAACATTATAAGCAATTCATGTAAAAATACAGTATTTTCGAAATACTTACGTAAGTGGGGGTTCATTGGGGCTGGAAGAGAAAAAGAGAGCAGAGAATCTGAAATTAATAAAACAGACAGTGATCGGTTTGCAAAACATTTCCAAAGTTTTCCCAACAGTGTATCTACACTATAGAGTTAACACAGTTTGACACCACTTTACACTTCCATAATTCAATAGTATGGAATCTTGGGATCTATAGTTGTGCTGTCATGTGCTGGGCCTATAGCAGTTGGCTTTTGAACAGGACATGTTCTTTGTGCCCAGTGGGAAGCCAGGGTGCCTCGACTGAGAGACCCTAAGGATTTTCCTTTACAGAGTCTTTAGAAGCTTGAAAGATTTAACGAAGTCCTTTATTATTGCTTAAGTCTTCAACCAACAATCAAATACTTCTTAGATCTTCAACAAATTAAATGCTTCAAGGCTTTGAATCAACTGGTGGGCACCTTGCTTGGAGAACTATTTCTTTCTTTAACAAGTAAAAACCCTTTTTGACCCCTCCCGGGCAATCTGTTTTCTAGGCTCTGTGCAGTGTGGGCCCTACTCCCGGCTCCAAACTGCTTCTTGGGTCCCGAGTAGACCTACCAGCCAAGGCTTTGTAGATTTTCCGGCTGGAGTCCTTTTGGATTTTTGACCCCTCCCAGGCAATCTGTTTTCTAGGCTCTGCTGGTGTGGGTCGTACTCCCAGTTCCAATTGCTTCTGGTTATCCGAGTAGACTACCAGCCAAGACCTTGTAGATTTTCCAGCTGGAGTCGTTTTGGATTTTCTCCACGAATGATGTGAATCTGTATCTTTAACCCCAAAAAGGGTTGTGCTATAAGACTGTTTTCCTTAGAAGCTTTAGGGCTGTTTCCCCCGGATGTTGTGAGAAACGAAGCTTTTCTACAGGTGGGGAAAGCTCACGCCCTGTAACTAGGCTTCCAAACTGAAAGACTGCCTGAAGTCTTTCTTTTCCCTCCCAGTGTTAGAGACCCTAAATTGGGTCTTCTTAGGTCCACATCACGGGAACACGTAAGGAAGGAGACAGTCCCCAAAAAAGATAAAAAAACAAGGTTTATTTTAGTTTCTTCATGAAGAAGACGGACAGCCTGGCAGCATACGCAGATGCTACCCTTCAAGTGACTGCCGCCCCCTCCTCTTTTTCTGCTGACTTTTATATTCAAGTAATAGGTCATGGAAGGTACTCTCTTTCCAGCCCCTCTCCCTTGACCTTTTGATGGAAAGTACCTTCTTGTACCTGCAAACTCTGCGCTTAACCACAACCTTTGAACTTAACCACAACACAACTTCTGACTTCTACATGTCACAACTTGTTTCTTAAAAACATTTTCTTCCCTGTTGCTCCTTTTCTACAGAGAAAGGGTATGTTTAGCACTTTTTTTGGCAGCGAAGGCCAAGAATCTGGGGAAAAAATCCAGGATTCCTTGGCATTCAGCCATGAAAGTTAAAGTTGTGTCAAACCTAATTTAGTCTACTAGAGTGTAGACACACACCTATAAAGTAGGAGATTGTTTGGCCTGCAGCATGCATCACTTTCTTCAATGAGTCAGTGCAAATATTAGCCACGTTACATACATACAACTAACTATTATGGAATTTGGAAGCGAGAAGACAGGGCAGTCTAAGTATGGGTTTACAACTTCATTGTCCCTATGAGTAATTCTTTGTCTGTGAATCATAGTCTCTTTATCCTCCATAAAGGAGTAATTGGCCCAAAACCACCCAAAGTGACTCATTTTGCAAGGAAGGTATTGCTCTCTCTCTCTCTCTCTCTCACCCACCATTTCCCTTTCTCTCTCCCCTCTTTCCTCCAAATGCCATTTCTCTGGATTAGTCATTTGCTTCTTGTGATTCGCCAACAACTGGAAGGAGCAGCAGTCATAGAATCATAGAATCATAGAATCAAAGAGTTGTAAGAGACCTCATGGGCCATCCAGTCCAACCCCCTGCCAAGAAGCAAGAATATTGCATTCAAATCACCCCTGACAGATGGCCATCCAGCCTCTGTTTAAAAGCTTCCAAAGAAGGAGCCTCCACCAACTCCGGGGCAGAGAGTTCCACTGCTGAACGGCTCTCACAGTCAGGAAGTTCTTCCTCATGTTCAGATGGAATCTCCTTTCTTGTAGTTTGAAGCCATTGTTCCGCATCCTAGTCTCCAGGGAAGCAGAAAACAAGCTTTCTCCCTCCTCCCTGTGGCTTCCTCTCACATATTTATACATGGCTATCATATCTCCTCTCAGCCTTCTCTTCTTCAGGCTAAACATGCCCAGCTCCTTAAGCCGCTCCTCATAGGGCTTGTTCTCCAGACCCTTGAGCATTTTAGTCACCCTCCTCTGGACACATTCCAGCTTGTCAATATCTCTCTTGAATTGTGGTGCCCAGAATTGGACACAATATTCCAGGTGTGGTCTAACCAAGGCGGAATAGAGCATGGAGCATGACTTCCCTAGATCTAGACACTATGCTCCTATTGATGCAGGCCAAAATCCCATTGGCTTTTTTTGCCGCCACATCACATTGTTGGCTCATGTTTAACTTGTTGTCCACGAGGACTCCAAGATCTTTTTCACACGTACTACCCTTGAGCCAGGCATTGTCCCCCATTCTGTATTTTTGCATTTCTTTTTTCCTGCCAAAGTGGAGTATCTTGCATTTGTCCTGTTGAACTTCATTTTGTTAGTTTTGGCCAATCATCTCTCTAATCTGTCAAGATCGTTTTGAATCCTGCTCCTGTCCTCTGGAGTATTGGCTATCCCTCCCAATTTGGTGTCGTCTGCAAACTTGATGATCCTGCCTTCTAAGCCTTCATCTAAGTCATTAATAAAGATCCTGAGCAGGACCGGGCCCAGGACGGAACCCTGCAGATGGCACTCCACTCGTCACTTCTTTCCAGGATGAAGAGGAAGCCTTGGGGAGAATCATCCTCTGAGTTCGTCCATTTAACCAATTCCAGATCCACCCCACTGTAGTTTTGCCTAGCCCACATTGGACTCGTTTGTTTGCCAAGAAGCAGGTCAATCGTGTTCAAAGCACCCCCAACAGATGGCCATCCAGCCTCTGTTTAATAACTTCCATAGAAGGAGCCTCCACCACACTCCGAGGCAGAAAGTCTCTCGTGCCCCCTTCTTACAACCATCTCTTCTCCAAGACCCCTAAGTCTTTTCTCAAAGGGATTCCCAGTTTCCAGACCATCTTCCAAAGCCTGAGGAAAGCCCTCCTCTTACCGCTGTATTTGATTACGCGAATGGTGGAATCTCCATCTCCAAATATGGTGACTGGGGTCAGGCGCACTTCGTAGGCTTCTGGCTTGATCAATTCGGTCAGATTGTAAGTGATCAACTCTCCCTTCTGGATCTTCCCATTCACCGCAATCTCCTGCTCCCACCAGCGCTGTTGCCCAGCCTAGAAGGAGACACCAGAAGAGAAGGAAGGAAGGAAGGTTCAGCTTGACGAATACACAAATGGGAAGGAAGAGCAGTCTCTTGCAATGGTGTGGAGATGCCACACAATGCTGTAATGCAGCCATACATGCAACCAAATGCTTGGCATATATCCAGGCACACTACCCTGTGTACCTCTATGTGCAATTTCCCCTAAACCAGTGTTTCTCAACCTGGGGGTCGGGACCCCTGGAGGGGTCGCGAGGGGGTGTCAGAGGGGTCAGCAAAGACCACCATAAAACACAGTATTTTTGTTGGTCATGGAGGTTCTGTGTGAGAAGTTTGGCCCAATTCTATCGTTGGAAGGGTTCAGAATGCTCTTTGATTGTAGGCGAACTATAAATCCCAGCAACTACAACTCCCAAATGTCAAGGTCTATTTTCCCCAAACCCCATAGTGTTTACATTTGGGCATATTGAGAATTCGTGCCAAGTTTGGTCCAGATCCATCATTGTTTGAGTCCACAGTGCTCTCTGGATGTAGGTGAACTACAACTCCCAAAACTCAAGGTCAATGCCCACCAAACCCTTATTTATTTATTTATTTATTACTGCACTTGTAGACCGCCGTTCTCAGCCCTAGGGCGACTCACGGCGGTGTAGGGCGACTCACGGCCCTACACCGCCGTGAGTCCAGTAATTTCTGTTGGTCATGGGAGTTCTGTGTGCCAAGTTTGATTCAATTCCATCGTTGGTGGAGTTCAGAATGTTCTTTGATTGTAGGTGAACTATAAATCCCAGCAACTACAACTCCCAAATGACAAAATCAACCCCCCACCCCACCAGTATTCAAATTTGAGTGTATTGGGTATTTGTGCCAAATTTGGTCCAGTGTATGAAAATACATCCTGCATATCAGATATTTACATTACTATTCATAACAGCAGCAAAATGACATTTATGAAGTAGCAATGAAACTAATTTTATGGTTGGGGGTCACCATAACATGAGGAAGCGTATTAAGGGGTCGTGGCATTAGGAAGGTTGAGAACCACTGCCCTAAACACTTGCCTCCAATGCATCTCAATCTGCATCCAAGCACAATGGATTGTTTTGCCCCATTTGGAAAATGGGATAGAAGGAATATTTGTTGTTACTTAGGAGATTATCACATGAGTCGTGTAAACGGCATTGAAGGCTCCCTGGATATGAATAATAATGTGTTCTACCACATGATGTCAGCTTAAACACATCACAATGTTCAAGGGGTTTTAAAGGGGTATTCAATGAAAATGGCTTCTCCCCATCTTTCTGATTCAACCAGCTTTACAAATGTCGCACACCAGGGCTGGGAAAGCCCCTCTGAACCAATGTCACACACCAGAGTTTGGTATAAGCAAAGCAGTTTATTGAAGAATAAAAATAGCTTCAGCAAAAGGATAAACATGATCAAAATAGTATAGAGTATTATCCATAAAAAGTGTCACCTAAAGAATCCAAACATCAAGTTCAGGAAACAGGAATAATAATAATAATAATAATAATAATAATAATAATAATAATAATAATAATGGGCTTTATTTATATACCGCTCTAACTCTGCTAGGGGACTCAGGGAAGTTTCCAAATAACGAAACATCAACATACAGAGTACACAAAGCATAAGCATAGAATTATCAAAGCAACACAAATACATTAAAAACCATTCCCACCCAATTCTTTGTGCAAAAATTACTGTTAGGACAAAAAAATGCAAAAATTGGCATAGGTAAATGAAAAGTAGTGCAAAAACAGGACATGGGGGGAATGGGTAAGGTGCAATAACCAGTCCCAACCATAGTAATAGTGGGGCCTGTAATTCCAGGAATGCCCAAAACCATGACAAGATCCAAAGGTAACAAGAGTCTGTGATCCCAAAATAATCCAAGACAGCAAATCCATAGACACATGAAAATACAGGAACAAAACTTGAGCATTAAAGGTATGAAAAGTCACAGGCATCTCAACATGAATGTAAATCCAAGGCACAAGAAACTTGAACATGAGAAAGGAACTGCTGTCTAAACCAAACGTTGGTTCCTCTGAAGACACAATCTCAGTTGCCCTCATATATAGTAAAAAATCCATGCCTTTTCCCTTGAGAAGACTCAGGAGGAACCCTCTTGTCAATTAATCTTTGAGAGCGGTGCCTCTCCCCGGCCAGATGTCTCTGTTGACAAATCTGACTCCTTCCATCAAAAGAGGCATCCTCCTCCTCTGGATCCCCAATTAAAACATTCACATTCCGACCTTGACTCCCTTGGGAAACTTAACACAAGTCTGTCAGCCTCTTTCTCTGTACTGGCACATCTAATGCAGGCTTGACCGTCCCAGAATCCTCAGCTTCATCATGGCGAACAACACTCTCCTGTCCAAAATCCCCATTTCCAGGCTCCTATTGGTCTGCAGGATCTTGCTCATTAGGCACTGAAACTTCAGGCAATGGCACAAATGCAAGCTGAACCACTACAACAAAGCGAATTCTGCAAAGCAATAGGCAAAATGTGGCTCTGCAATAAGTTTTGGGGGCCGTGACATCCACTGCGGGCATAATTCTCAGCAAATGTTAACCCTTTCGCCCCCAATTGTCCTGACTGCTTTCAACATCCACAAGTTATAGGACAGTGACAAATGCAAGATAACAGTAACAAATGCAAGAGACTCCACTTTGGCAGAAAAAACGAAATGCAAAGATACAGAATGGGGGACAATGCCTGGCTCGAGAGCAGTGCGTGTGAAAAAGATCTTGGAGTCCTCGTGGACAGGAAGATGAACATGAGCCAACAATGTGATGTGGCGGCAAAAAAAGCCAATGGGATTTTGGCCTGCATCAATAGGAGCATAGTGTCTAGATCTAAGGAAGGAATACCGCTCTATTCTGCTTTGGTTAGACCACATCTGGAATATTGTGTCCAATTCTGGGCACCACAATTCAAGAGAGATATTGACAAGCTGGAATGCGTCCAGAGGAGGGCGACTAAAATGATCAAGGGTCTGGAGAACAAGCCCTATGAGGAGCGGCTTAGGGAACTGGGCATGTTTAGCCTGAAGAAGAGAAGGCTGAGAGGAGATATGATAGCCATGTATAAATATGTGAGAGGAAGCCACAGGGAGGAGGGAGCAAGCTTGTTTTCTGCTTCCCTGGAGACTAGGACGCGAAACAATGGCTTCAAACTACAAGAAAGGAGATTCCATCTGAACATGAGGAAGAACTTCCTGACTGTGAGAGCCATTCAGCAGTGGAACTCTCCTCCCCGGAGTGTGGTGGAGGCTCTTTCTTTGGAAGCTTTTAAACAGAGGCTGGATGGCCATCTGTCAGGGGTGATTTGAATGCAATATTCCTGCTTCTTGGCAGAATGGGGTTGGACTGGATGGCCCAAGAGGTCTCTTCCAACTCTTTGATTCTATGATTCTATGATTCTAAGTCTGTCAGCCTCTTTCTCTGTACTGGCACATCTAATGCAGGCTTGACCATCCCAGAATCCTCAGCTTCATCATGGCGAACAACACTCTCCTGTCCAAAATCCCCATTTCCAGTCCCCTGTGGGTCTGCTGGATCTTGCTCATTAGGCACTGAAACTTCAGGCAACGGCACAAATGCAAGCTGAACCACTACAACAAAGCAGATTCTGCAAAGCAATAAGCAAAATGTGGCTCTGCAATACGTTTGGGGGGCCGTGACATCCATTGTGGGCATAATTCTCAGCAAATGTTAACCCTTTCGCCCCCAATTGTCCTGACTGCTTTCAACATCCACAAGTTATAGGACACTTGTGGATGTTGAATGGGGAACCGAATGTGCAAACATAGGTGAAATGTGCAATTGCAATGCATGTAGCACCTCTTTCCCTGCAATGCACAGCACACACCCGTATGCACAAAGTGACAGCACCACTTGGGCTAAGTGGTCTTGCCCTTCAAGTGATTGTGGACTTCTTCCTTTGGGCAAAAATGCCCCAGCCCTTCTGGAGGGGAGCTGACACAAGCTGAATTCACTAACAGGATGACAGCTGTGCTTTGGCACACAAGGTTTTCTTTCTTCTTCGAAAAGCACCGTCTGTGTAGCAAAGTACAAATTGTCCCCAAATGGATCTTAAGAACCAGAAAAATGGGTTGTTGAACGGATCGTCTCAGCAAACCAATGGATTCAAGTTACAAGAGAAAAAATTTAATTAAGAATACCCAACTGACTGCAAGATCTTGCCACAAACCCCGGTGCCAACTCTGCCCAAACACTGACTCAGGAAGCATATTGCATCATATAATCATAAAGTTGGAAGAGACCTCCTGGGCCATCCAGTCCAACCCCATTCTGCCAAGAAGCAGGAAAATTGCATTCAAAGCACCCCTAACAGAAGTTTAAAACTTCCAAAGAAGGAGCCTCTACCACACTTCGGGGCAGAGAGTTCCACTGCTGAACAGCTCATGATGAGGAGATATTGGAAAAATAGATATTTATTTATGTATAAATTGTATGTACTTTACAAGCACTGAAATGTATCGAAAAATCAAGTTCTCTCTGTATTAGAAAGAATGCCGAAGGAGATCTGTGTCCAGGCACAGCAAGAGGGAGGGGAATATTCCAGGAGAGAGATAAGCCTGTCCCAGTAGCAACAGACTGGTTCAACTAGGCTCCAAGTAAGGAGCCCCCCTCTCCCTCCTGACAGGTCAAAGTTAGGCCCCTTGATTAATGAATGTAAACTATGCTGCTCCTAGAAATACACAGAGACATGCCTTTTGCATGTTGGAAAATAGAACTTGATATTTCTGTGATGCTAAGATGACGTAGTGAATGAGGTCAACGTATGTAGAAGCATGTTCTTTGTTTGCCTGAAGTTGTAGAGGTATAAAAGGCATAGTCCGCATCTATATCATTGCTCTGGATGCTTTTGGACATAGTCCACTCCAGGGCCCCAGCTGGAAATAAAATCCATGCTTTTGAGACCTCCGGACCTCTCTTTGTCTCTTTTCCTGAAACCTTTTC